GAAAGAGAAAGAAAAAAGAGAAAGAGGAAGAGGAAGAGGAAGAGAGAAACATCAATCGGTTGCTTCCAGCACAAGCTCTGACTGGGATAAAATCCAAAACCTGGGTATGAACCCTGACTGAGAATTGAACCCCCTTTTGGTGTATGGAACGATGCTCCAACCAACTGCCATCCAAGTAGCCCCCCCCCCTTTTTTTTTAGTGAACTTTGGTGGTTTTACACAATTTATCCATTTCATATGAGTTATTGAATTTATTGGTATAATGTTCTTCATAGTATTCTCTTTTTATCCTTTTAATGTTTATAAAACCTGTAGTATTTTCATCTCTTATTCTTTATATTAATAACTATGTCTTCTCTCTTATTTATCTGATTAACGAGGCCAGAGTATTATAAATTTTATTGAGCTTCTCAAAACATCAACAACCAATAAAACAGGCACAGTTCACTAACCTCCATTGGTGTCTGTGTGAGAGTGAAGGTGTTGCACATTAGCAAAAGACTAGGTTGGCAGGTGACTTAACTCCAACAATAACCTAAGACTACTTAAAACTTGGTTAGATCTTTTAAGCCACTCACATAAACTTGCTGTCTAAATAAAAACAAAATACTTGCTATGAAAACACAGTTTCAAGGCAGATCCTCTTTCAATTCTCCCCTCCAACTTTACTCCTTTCCCTATAATAGTCTTCTATTTCATCCTGTAGTTATTCTGTACTACTGTTGGGTAGTAATATATTAGTGGCCTAACATGGTTCATATCTTTTGATGTTATAACGTACAGAAATATCAGATTATCCATGAAAATTTTGAACAAATTCATGGAAAGACATAGATTGTCAAGCTTCTAAACTCACAGATTGGAGAAATGGTTTAGAGATTACAGTACCTGCATCATAGCACATGTCAGGGGCTCAAGACAATGCTGAGTTCAAGTACCAAAACTTTCTGCTAGGAATATGGCCTGTTTTTCTATTTTGTCTTCCACAGCTGACAGAAAACAGCTCATGGAGAGCTCAATCTTTTGTCTGAACATCCTTTTGCACGTCTAAGTACCTCACAATAAATTTCGGTATTTTAAATAATCTATTTTTAAAAACTTAGTTTGAATAATAAATTGATGCATTTTAAAACTTCACATCAGTGTCTGGGTCAGAGAGAATTTATGGAGTTACTATTTATAGATTGTTAAAGACACCTCTTAGAGCAATATCCAGGCTGTTGTATGTGGACATTTCTGGGATTATAGCACAGAAACTTTAATACCCACCTCAGGAATGATAGGGATCTTAAATAGGCAGTCATATTTACTAAAGAAACCTGGAGTTTTCTTAGATTGCCAACCTTAGTAAGACAAGAAATGTCAGGGTGACAGAGCTTAAGTGGCTCTTTTCAGATATGTTACACTGATTCTCTATATTTAAAATGCAAAACAGCCTCCCAAAGCTATTTAATTAAGTCAAAGTAAGTCTAGTCCCTTTGGAACCAAATGGTTCAGTGAGCAAATGCCTATCAGCAACTGGAGGGAGCGGAGGAAGTTATTATGTGCTTCACAGTCATGGTGACATGCTATAACCCTATATCAGGGATCCGAAACAGTGATTGGTGGAGAAAATTATCAAACTGAGTTTAAATTTCGGCAGGTACAAAATTATCATGCAAAAGTCTAGGACAGTGTGCCACTCAGTCTCCAAAGAAAAAGATAAGAAACCCTGGATTTCCAAAGTCCCTTTGAAGGCTTTTAAGGTAAGGTGAAACATCCTCTTTACTCAGAATTGACAGGTACCTTTAGAAAGAAATTTGAATTTCAGAGAAGCCAACTAGATTTTAAGATGTGAATAACCCTGTATGACTAGATTTCCCCCCTCCTCTTTTGACTTGTCAAATCAAGAGTTTGTATGAAAAGATCTTGAGAAATTATGTGGTAAGGAATACTGATTCCATCTAGCAAAATATTGCATTACTGAAGAGCAGGTTTTTTTGTTTTTTTTGTTGTTGTTTGTTTTTAAATAGCCAGTGTTAAAATATCAGTTGCGAACAGAAAGAATATATGTAAGATGAAGCAAATATTTGAAATCCAAAATCTTAACAACAGAATGAGTGATTAGAATATTTTATGTATATCTCACTAAAGTGTCATTACTGTTATTTTTATTCAGAAAACCCAGTTTTGAGAACCATGAGCCTAGTTAAATTAATTTTTTTTTTAGTCTCAATGCAATGTAAGATGTGATGGAATTGAATGAAAAAGAAAAGAAACAACCTCTGCCTTTTTTATTTATTATTATTTTTTAAATTATTGTTTTTTTAAATCCTCACTCAATGATATGTTTTTATTGATTTTCAGAGAGAAAGGAGGGGAGAGAGTTAGAAACATTGATGCGAAAAGCATCTATCACTCATCTCCTGCATGAGCCCTGACTGGGGATCAAACCTGCAACCTAGGTATGTGCCCTGACTGGGAATAGAACCCACAAACTTTTAGTGTATGGAACAATACTCCAACCAACTGAGCCACCTGGCCAGGGGCTCTTTCTCTTTTAAATAGTAACAATATTTAAATACTGACTATGTTAAAAAATAAACATGAATTTGATGTAACACATTATGTTATATTTATTTCAAATTTTGTCCAATAAACTCAGTGATAGGGCCCATGTCTGTCTTTTAGGGCTCCATATCTGGCTCACATTAGATCTTCAAATGCTTGTTGAATTAATGAATGGATCTCAGTTTACATATAACTTCTTGGTCCCTAAAAAAGCTATTTAATTAAGTGAAAGTAAGTCTAGTCCCTTTGGAGCTAAATGGATCAGTGAGCAAATGCATATCAGCAAAAATTAATTAATTAATTTTTTACCAGTTGAGTTTAGGGCTTTAAGAGCTACACTAAAAACACTTCTACTCTGAATAGCTAGAGATGCTGACCTCTGTCAGACTTCTACAAAATGGTAGGTTTGAAAAAAGAAAGATGCATTACTAACAAACTGGCAAACTGAGGTGGAAAATTGATCATCTGGTGCTTTGGTTAGTTTTGATAAGAAATTAGATAAGGCAGGTTTTAAAAATCCAGCTTGGACTTCCACACAAGGCTTTAATTAGGCTTTGCTTTTCACTTAAAAAAATTGTCCAAAAAAACTAGATAAAATTTCTAAATCTCATTTAACTTGTGACATGAAATAATCTGGAGGGGGTTCACATACTTTTATTTATTTCAGGGAGGAAGGGAGAGGGGGAGAGATAGAAACATCAGTGATGAGAGAGAATCATCGATCGGCTGTCTCTTGCATGTCCCTTACTGGGGATTGAGCCTGCAACCTGAGTATGCGTCCTTGACCGGAATTGAACCAGGGACCCTTTAGTCCCCAGGCCGACACTCTATCCACTGAGCCAAACTGGCTAGAGCGAGGCCATTTCTACAGGAATCTTTCAAGCCATTGCCCTACCTGTGGAAACAGCTGAACACCAGCATGCATCATTCAATTGTTTGGAGTCGATATGAAAAGGAGCTGATGTGGTCAGCTTTCTGGGTTGCAGTTTAGAAACGGGCTGCATATAACCCTGGCCTTCACTACCGGTACCTTTCCAGGACACCATGGCCCCTCCAAATCACAGTGTAGACTGGCCTTCGGCAGACTCTCTGTAATAATTAGGGGTGAGACTGCAAAGGAGAGTGTAACTCCTGCTTACTAAACAGCTGCCCTTCCACATCCAAGACCAGAGCTCTGCAGTATACTTGTCCTGAGCTCACCTCGGCCCCGCTTTTCATCTGCAGCATTCTGGAAGGAGGTCTTGGCTTTCTGCTGAGTGGTCACCAGAGTCAGCACTTTCTTTCCCTCTCTCAGTAGCTCTGAAACGGTGCCCTCTCTCCTGTGAAGAAATGCCAATGACTCTATGGCAGTTGATGTTCACTGATGCTTTATGATGTTTCCACTATCAATATTAAGTCCAATAAAGGCCGTTTTATAACATGCAGCATTAGAAACTATAAACCCAGTGGAAGGTCATGAAATAGGAGTAAAACTCTCCTTTACTTTTTTACAGTAATGGAATCATTACATCAAGCAATCAATTCGCAATATATGGGAATTTAAATTTTTTATTCACATGGACTATCCAGTGCCTATTCCAATGTATCAAAATGTATAGTCAACCATTTTTGAATGTAAATTCTATCAGGAATAAAGGGTCATATGTTTACAAGTCCCTCATAATAATTGCTATCATTTATTAAGAGATTGCTCCATACCCAGGGCAGTGCCAGGTATTCTTATTTTAGTATCTATTCATCAACAATATTCAGAAAAGGTCTTTTTATGTGCTCTGTGTTGGACTACAATGATTACAATGATTCTCCTGGGTCTCGGGAGCTCTCAGTAGGGCAGGGGAAGGTGCAAGGAGCCAGGCTATTTTAAAACAGCACAATGAACACTGAGAGGCTCTCTGTATACTTTTCTTAATTGTCTGGCTGAAGGTTTTTTTTTTTTATTCACCTCCAGTTTTGAAAATCTGACAATTTCTGTAATTATGTTTTCTGTGTACTTCATCTGGAACGCCTCATCTACAGAAATTGGATCTCTGTGATCATTTTCTGAATTCATTAACTGTTTTAATAAATTTAGGTTTTTAGCTTTGGGAGAAAAAAAAAAACCCACCAAAAACAGTACAATAGGCTGCCTACCAGTGAGATGTGCAGAAGCTGCTGTTGGTAGAAAAGAGACACTAAGCATCCTCAGAAAGGAGCCAGAGAAGGCTTCTCAGAGAAGATTTTTCTGCTAAGATGGCTGGAGCAATCCTGGGGCAGGCATTATTATTATCCCAGATGGAGGAAACAAGGCTGAGTAAAGTGCTTACATTTGTCAAACTCACACAGTAAGTAGCAAAGGTAGAATTTAACCCAGGTCTCTAAATCCAAACTCTATGTTCTTTCCATGAGCCTAGGCCCCCTCATGCCTGTCCCTTACAGTCTAGCAGAATCCAAATGTATGAATCAAGAGAGGGGACGACAAGTGCTTCATCTTTTAAACACCATCTTAGTACAATTAGTTAATACTTGATTAAAACTATTCAGAAGAGACAGATAATCCTTACTATTAAGAACAGCAGAAGGACATAGATTATGGTTATGACTTTGTGGCTCTGTGGCTGTTTCCCTTCGCTGGCAGAGGCAAACAAGTCTAGATGGTTCCATCGGTGATGGGCCTGAGGAGCCCAAACATCTCCACGGCCACACCAGGGATGTTCCGAACACGGAGTCCTGGCAGCCACCTTCTCGGGCTTGATAAATACTCCTTGCCCGAGAAAAAGGCAAATGCTTACAAACCAAGTGAGACATTACTGTGGTTATTACCTTTTGTTCTGTAAATAATGTTGTGCTATTCTCTTTTTTAAACAGCCATTAACGAATATTTCTGAAGAAAATGAAGATAATCATATGTTTTTGCATTTGGGCAGCAGCATGGGCCATTCCGGTAAGGATACCATCCTCAGGAAACCTCCGTACTTGGTTATCTCTTTTAACCTAACATAAATATAGAAGACTTTGCAGATAAGTTGAGCCTAAACATTTAGATTTGCATGAAAGACTTGACAGGATAACTCTGGGGGGGGGGGGGTGTCTCAACAAAACCAAACATGACTCCAAGTTCATGCCCCTATTCCTCCAATCAAAACTCATGCTGCTCAGAAGGATTCTCATTTATTTATTTATTTTTTAAAATATATTTTATTGATTTTGTACAGAGAGGAAGGGAGAGAGATAGAGAGTTAGAAACATCGGTGAGAGAGAGTCATCGATCAGCTGCCTCTTGCACACCCCCCACTGGGGATGTGCCCGCAACCAAGGTACATGCCCTTGACTGGAATCAAACCCGGGACCCTTCAGTCCCCAAGCCGATGCTCTATTCATTGAGCCAAACCGGTTTCGGCAGGATTCTCATTTAAAAATTCATTCCGATCAATTTACATTCAATCCCCATAAATCATGAAGATTTTGTTCATCTTTGCTCATGTGCTCTGAATTGCACTCTAATATCAATGAAATCTGTATTGTTTAGAAAGTTTTCAAGAAAGAAAAATAGCATTTTTTTAATATGGGGAAAAATTAACATTTTACTCAGAGTTATTTTTTATATGTTCACTGTAGAAAATTTGGAATATATAAACCACACCAACAAAGAAAAATTAAGAAAATTCAACCATTTGTAATTTTATTAGCTAGCTGCTATGTTAACATTTTTTATATGCTTTCAAATACCAAATGCTTTGGTATTGATGTGATTGAGAATTTTCTCAATTATTTCAAATGTGCTTCTGAGGACACATAGTCTACTACTTTTTTATTTTTATTTTTTTATGAACTGGCTCTGGTCATACCAACTATCCTCCTGGGGGTTTTGGCCAGGATTATACTTAGGGTAGGTCTTGTACTTTGAAAGAGGCTTATTGAAAGGAAATACCCAAGATCTATCTTTTCATCTTTAGAAGAGACTGTTTCTCTTCTATAGTTGAGACGAATGGCTTAATTCTTCAATAAGATTGGTAACACCATTGTGAAAACTACCTTTATGCCAGTTTAAATTCCACATAAACCCTGTAAAAAGTCATTTCTCTTTTCCACTTGATTAGAGCATATGTTGGCCTTTGTGTTATATCTCTCCCCTTTCCCCTTCCCCCACACTTCATTTAGGGGAAAATGTGTGTGTCTGTGTATGGGAATGCATGCAAAATAAGAATGTTTTTGATTTTCATAGGTTCCTCAAATCAGGCCATTGGAGAGACATGCTGTTGGCCAATCTGTGAATTTAAGTCTTCCAGAAAAATTAAAAGTGCCGATACAGGTATAGGGTATAAAATGTGTTCCTAAAATGTTTTTAGATTCCATTATCTTCCAAAAAATTGATGCTCAGCTTGTTAGTTTCACAATGATATTCACAATTTATTTTGAATTGTTTCTTTTTCAGGATGAGTTATATGCTAATGATGCCACCAAAGAAAGTGGTGCCCCCATGCATGAAAATGAATTGGGAAGGCAACAGTCTACCAAAGATGGTTACCAAGTATCAGGAGATGGCTCTGAGTGGGCAGGAGTAGGAGGGAAAAGTTCTTCTACACATTCCATGTCAGTAAATGGAGAGGGGCATCCTGAGGATCAGAATGGGGGTGAAGAAAACCCAGAAACATATGGTCATGATGGAATACATTGTATTAGGGGACAAGCAAGCACTATTGACATGACTGGAGCAGCAAATGGGAGCAATGTTAATGGAAATACTGATGAGAATTCTGAAAATGGGGGTGTTGGAGATGCAAGTCAGAGTGAGAATGGCACTGTTGTCGAAGATGAACATCAAGCGTCTGGAAGCAGTAATAGTACAGGTCATGAGGATGGCATAAATGGGAATTCCTGTACGAATGAGGGTGATACAAGTGCGATGACACCTCAGAAAGGAGGTGAGAGAAATGGTCATGAGGAGGCAGGGGTAACACCAGGGGGAAGCGGAGCTGGCAATAGAGAAGATGCTGGCCTCGATAATTCTGATGGGAGTCCCAGTGGAGATGGAACAGATGAGGGTGAAGACAAGGGCTCTGGTGATAATGAAGGTGAAGAAACAGGAAATGGAAAAGATGGCACTGATAACAGCCAGGGCCAGGAGGGTCAGGGTCCTGGAAAAGAAGATGACAATGATAATAGCTTAGGTGAAAATTCAATTAGCAGTGAAGATGATGACCCTGGAGACAATGAAGATCCACATGACATGGATGGAGACAATGCCTCTGAGAGTGAGGAGAATTCCCATAGTATTCTAGAAAAAGATGATAGCCAAAGAATAGAAGGCATCCAAAAAACCAATCACAGAGAAAAAAATGGTGTGGATAATGGAATTAGCAAAGAATCAGAGACGAGTACCAATGGGAAGAGCCAGGATAAGGTTAGTTTATGAAGTTAATTTTTTAAATAGCAATTTAAATTTTCTCTTCCACCCAACTAAGGGTAGCACAAAACACAATCATGACAAGCATTCATGTATTTTAGTACCCAAATTACTTGAATATCTGATAGGAAAGCCAGAGTTCTTACTACAATAGATTTTGATATACAACAATTTAAAAAATATTTTATTGAGTTTTTACAGAGAGGAAGGGAGAGGGATAGAGAGTTAGGAATGTTGATGAGAGAGAAACATTGATCAGCTGCCTCCTGCACACCTCCCACTGAGGATGTGCCCACAACCAAGGAATCAAACCCTGGACCTTTCAGTCCGCAGGTCAATGCTCTATTGAGCCAAACTGGTTAAGCAATATACAACAGTTTAAAAAAATGAAACATTTCTGAAAATTTGGTTAAAATTCTAGAATAGTCTTAAGTTAAATAATGTCTGCACCATAAAAGATCCTACTAGGTGAAATATGTGGGTGGGTTGTTATATAACTCAAACACTAGAGCACTTTCAAGCACTGAATCTAGCACATTTTCACAAAAAATGTTTCTGAATCACTGGAAGCTGACCTTCTGTTTCACTGGTCACTTTTCTCAGTGTTCCTCAGAGCAATGCAATTTTGCAGTATACCATTCATTAATCACCCATTCTTTTATCCATTCTTCCATAGCGAATAGAAATTGAAGGTCCTAGCAGTGGCAATAGAAACAATATTACCAAAGAATCTGGGAAAATCATCGGCGATAAAGAGAGTAAAGGACAACATGGAGTGATTGTGGGCAACGGAAATGTCCAGACACAAGGGGAGACTGACAACAGGCAAGAACCTGGCCAGAAGTCAGAACCTGGGAACAAGGTTGAACATGGCCAAACAGGTAGTGAGAGTAACAGTGATGGCTATGATAGTTATGAGTTTGATGATGAATCCATGCAAGGAGATGATCCCAACAGCAGTGATGAATCTAATGGCAATGATGATGCCAATTCTGAAGGTGACAATGACAGCAGTAGCCGAGGAGATGCATCTTATAACTCTGATGAATCAAAAGATAATGAGAATGACAGTGATTCAAAAGGAGAAGGAGATGAGGACAGTGACAACACATCAGATGCTAGTGATAGTGACAGTAATGGCATTGGTAATAATGGGAGTGATGATAGCGAATCAGACAGCAGCAAAGGTAAATCAGACAGCAGTGACAGCAGCGACAGTAGTGACAGCAGTGACAGCAGTGATAGCAGTGACAGCAGCGATAGTAGTGACAGCAGTGACAGTAGCAATAGTAGTGACAGCAGTGACAGCAGTGACAGCAGTGACAGTAGCAATAGTAGTGACAGCAGTGACAGCAGTGACAGTAGCGACAGTAGCAATAGTAGTGACAGCAGTGATAGCAGCAACAGTAGTGACAGTAGTGACAGCAGTGACAGCAGCGACAGTAGTGACAGCAAATCAGATAGCAGTGACAGCAGTGACAGCAGTGACAGCAGCGACAGCAGTGACAGTAGTGACAGCAGTGACAGCAGCGACAGCAGTGACAGCAAATCAGATAGTAGTGACAGTAGTGACAGCAGTGACAGTAGTGACAGCAGTGACAGCAAATCAGATAGTAGTGACAGCAGTGATAGCAGTGACAGCAGTGACAGCAGCGACAGCAGTGACAGCAGTGACAGCAGCGACAGCAGCGACAGCAGTGACAGCACTGATAGCAGCGACAGTAGTGACAGTAGTGACAGCAGTGACAGCAGCGACAGCAAATCAGATAGCAGTGACAGCAGTGATAGTAGTGACAATAGTGACAGCAGTGACAGCAGTGACAGTAGTGACAGCAGTGACAGCAGTGACAGCAAATCAGATAGCAGTGATAGCAGTGACAGTAGCGACAGCAGTGACAGTAGTGACAGCAGTGACAGCAGTGACAGCAGCGACAGTAGTAACAGCAAATCAGATAGTAGTGACAGTAGTGACAGCAGTGACAGCAGTGACAGCAGCGACAGCAAATCAGATAGCAGTGACAGCAGTGATAGTAGTGACAGTAGTGACAGCAGTGACAGCAGTGACAGCAGTGATAGTAGTGACAGCAGTGACAGCAGTGACAGCAGTGACAGTAGCGATAGTAGTGACAGCAGTGACAGTAGTGACAGCAGTGATAGCAGTGACAGCAGTGACAGCAGTGATAGCAGTGACAGTAGCGATAGTAGTGACAGCAGCGACAGTAGTGACAGCAGTGACAGTAGTGACAGTAGTGACAGTAGCGATAGCAGTGACAGCAGTGACAGTAGTGACAGTAGTGACAGCAGTGAAAGCAATGAAAGCAGTGACAGTAGTGATGAGAGTGACAGCAAGAGCAAGTCTCCTAATGGCAACGACCATAGAAGTGATAGTGACAGTGATAGTGAGAGTGAAGGCAGTGACAGTAATCACTCAACCAGTGATGATTAGAATAAACAAAAACCCCACAAGATTTCTTGTGTGAACAGTTTGGTGAGTGGTAGGAAATAAAGATTTCCAAGAAAATAAGGAGAAGGGAGAAAGAAACAGGAGACATGTAAACAACCACAGAATTAAGCCAAAGGGATGGATTCGGTCCAACTCCCAACTCCCTCAGAGAATCTGAATGTGTGACCTTTGGTACATGTGTGTTAAAATATATCCTGAAAAGATTTTGCTAAAGGTGTACATCTAAACATAAAATAACAATCAAAGTATTTAATACTTCATACAGAAACCTCAAGTAATCACATACTACAGGATAACTTCAATTCAAATGCCAAGTGCTTTAGAATGTGGCAAGTAAACATTTCTTATAAACAGCTTGTGACTTTGCCTTACTCTTTTGAGTAATTATATTTTCTGAATAGATGGTCTGCTCACTGCTGAGTAAAGAATGCTGTTACTATATCCACCTTGACTACTAATTCTTTACTTGTTCTAAGAAATGTAACTGTAACATGAAAAAAAACCAGCAATATTTTAATCTTTTGGAGAACAATCTTTGTAATTATTGAATAGAGTAATTGTAAGTCAGGGAAATTCTAAAGAGTGTTAGAGAGGAATCAAAAAGCTGATTTAAATAAGACCTGGTGGAGGAGAGCAAGAGGGGGGAGAAGAGGAACATTTGTAATAATATGAACAATACAGATTTATTTTAAAAAAATAAACGAATAAATAAATAAAACCTGATACTTAGTATTACATTCCTGCAAACCACTGGAAATTGAGCACAAAGTCCCTAAAACTATTGACAAAACTGGAGCTGTGCTTAGAACAGTGTCTTGCCTCCAGTAGCTACTTTCCAAATAGCAATAAATAAATGAAGCCAAGAATGGACGTTGGGTGGGGTGGAGTGGGGAGGACAGTGGTGTTCAGTTTTGAACTCTATTAAGTGAAATCAGTTGTCTTCTTCCTCAATCTCACAAAGTCAAACTTGGTTCACATTTCCCTTTTAAACCCCCACAAACCAAAACTTCTAGATCAGACCTTGAGACTCTCTTCTCACTTTTAATCTCTTTAATAAAGCCAATAGTTGCTGGTGGGTAGTGTTTGGAAACTACTCTTTTATTATTTGAGTCTTATATGTAGCTAAAATATGAGCATGGATCTTCAGCCTTTTCATGAGTGAGGGTAATTTTTAGTTTTGGGATGAAGCCCAAATGCTAGAGCGTGAGGATCTTAAAAATGTATGAGCCTACACTGTCATATTTCATAGGGTGGAGGTATACTTTATTACTCAAACTAGGACACTTTTGAGAGTAAAAGAGGTGCTATCAATAATTACTTGGGGACAGGGGGTATAAATTGGATTGTTCAGGGACACTGGAGATCCAAAGAACATAGCCATAAAACTTTAGGGTTTATTTTCAAGATTTAGTAGCGGTGATTTTTCATTTCCCTCTTTTTCCACGTAGGCAATTATTTTAGGTTTGCTTTACTTCAAAGTTAAACTTCTATATAGGGAAGTGTCAGATGCAACCTTTTAAATGTTAATTTTCAACAGACACTAGTAATTGACAATTTATGCTCTAAGATTAGGCTTATTTTACACAGAGTTTCTATAGGCTGTTTTTTCTGCCTCCTTCCTCCCATATGCAAGAGTTTCTTAGTTAAGAGATCAATTCAGCAAGGAATATTTCTGAAGGCTTTAAAACACTGCTACTCATAAACTACTTATAGCTCAAAAAATTTGAAATTTTAGTGTTCAATATATGCCAATCATGCAAGTCACTTCCAACTTCATTTGTGAAAGTATGCTCTAGGTTTTGATTTCCTTTAAACTTCAGGTTATTTTTAAAAAGTGTATGAAGTGCAGCTTCCAGTGTTTGTCCCACCTATTTCAAAAGGTTCTGATGAGCACTCAGTCAGGCAATGGATATGAAACCCTTTGTAAGCTGTATAAGATATGTAAATGACAGATAATGAATTTTGGTGTTACAATAAACATCTGTTTATATGATTGTCCTCAAGGAAATCTTCCTTTATCTTAATAAGTTTGTGTAACATGTTTAAAAATTAACTTTAAAATAAACATATATCTTTCTTGATTTCAGAAAGGGGAGAAGGAGAGAGAGAAACATCAATGACGAGAGAAAATTATTGACTGGGAATTGAACTGTGACCTCCCTGATTATTGGTCAACACTCAACCACTGAGCCACAGTAGGCAGGCAAAAATGAACTACTTTTAATTGAAAAGTGAATTTTTATATATAAAAATTCAAACACTATGAAAAGGTATACAAAAATATTAAATCTACACAGTCCTAGACTCCTAGTCCTCTATTTCTCCTCCCTAGAGGCAATTCCCATTACTAATATCCTATTGAACTCTCCAAAAATATTTTACACATATAAGCATATATGTCCCTTTTAAAAACACATGGAAGTCTACTATGCATAATGTATTTTTTAACCTAAGAATGTACCTTGAATAAAACACAGATTGATAATCTGTATTGCATTTCATTCTATGAACTGCCATAAGTATTTAATCTCTGCCTATTTTCCCATTACTTTCTGAGCCATTCATGGAGTGAATTCTGCAGGCGTTACTGGAGTCAGTCTAATAGTCCAAGTTGGATCAATTTTCAGCCAGTTTTAATAAAGATTTCATCTTAAGAAGTGTTTCTGGGGGTGGAAGGTGTTCAGAACTTAAAGCTGATGCCAGAAACAGTGAAGGAAGACTATGATCCTGATTTTCTTATGTGATAATATTGGCATCAGCCTCTGGATTTTTGAGGCAAAAGTAGAGACACTTTAAAAGAATGTCTCAAGAGTAGATCCTCGGTACACAGGAAGTCTGGTGTTAGAAAACACAATTGGTTTGGGGTCATTTTCTAGAATAAAATTTAATAAGCTATCTGCTAATATTGTCCATGAGAGTAATTTTTTAAATTGCAGGTTGTCACTAATTTTTTAAAAATAAATTTTTATTGATTTCAGAGGGTAAAGGAGAGGGAAAAAGAAAGATAGAAACATCAATGATGAGAGAGAATCATTGATCAGCAACCTTCTGCACAGCCCCTACTGGGGTTTGAGTTCACAACCCATGCATGTGCCCTTGACCAGAATCAAACCTGGGAACCTCAGTCTGAAGGGCTACACTCTATACACTGAACCAAACCAGCTAGGGCTTGTCACTCATTTAGTAAGTACTGATATCAGTTTAGTGACTTATCACCAACATTTTATAAAATGAAATAATAAAACAGAAGAATCATAGTGTATCAGATGTAATGCTTTGTGAAACTTGACATTTATCTCTATATAGTACATACTAGAGGCCCATGAAATTCATACCAGATAAAGGAAGCTCAACACAGCAACCTCTGCCTGGGGGTCAGCATGAAATTCATACGGGGAGGGGGGGAATCCTCCTCATCCCAGCCTGCACCCTCTCCAACCCAGGACCTCTTGAGGGATGTCCAATTGCCAGTTTAGTCTCAATCCCGGGGATCGAGCCTAAATTGGCAGTAGGATATCCCTCTCACAATTGCGGACCACAGGATCCTAATCACTCACCTGCCTGGCTGCCTGGTCACCCCTAACTGTTCCCCCCCCCCCCCCCCCCCCCCCGCTGGCCTGGTCACCCTATGCAGCCTGCTGTTTAGTCGTTTGGTTGTCCCTCACTGACCCCCTTCCCCCACTGCCAGCCTGGCTGTAGGCAGCCATCTTGTGAGGACATGATGGTCAATTTGCATATTACCTATTTATTATATAGGCTATACACACATATGTCTAAGTATGCTTATACTAGGACATGATGTAAAATGTCATTCTGATTGTTGGTTGTCTTAAAAAGATTTGATTGCCATTGGTTGGGTAAAGCATTATTATTGCTAGTAATCATTTCATATTTACTTTTCACATGTACATTTCTTCATACAGCTAAGTTTCTTTCCCTCTTTGAAGCAGTGTTTAAAAAACAAAAGGAACATAGGAGTAGTGGTGTATTTATAGAGAGTGAGGCAAGAGTGGTAGTGGTATGGGTTTCTGGACTGATTTGTGCTGCAGTAAAGGAGGTAAGGTAACATGGTCATTTTTGAGCTGGTTCTCAGAGGTCATCTTGACCCTGACCCTGAAGTTTCTTCCACACCTGCTTATACCACAAATAAGGAAAGGTAGTAAGGGTGTGTGTTTTGTTTTGTTTGTATAAAATCTATTTCTTAAAACAGATTATAAAAAGATAACCTTAGGAGAGTCATAACTCACTATAAAATACATGTAAAATTATTAACTGGGATGGAATTTCCCAGAATTCAAACTTGCTTTATGGTGTGTAATGGAAGTTTTGAAAAACCTTAGACTAAAATAAGCTGGAACAATTTTCCTCTCCCTAAAAGGAGCAGGAACAAAATGGAATAGTTCGGTCATAGATGAAAATATCGTGTCCTCACAGGGATCCTTTGACTGCTGCTCACAGGCAAATCCTCTAGAGAAAGAAACAAGTCAACAATACAATGTTCCCAAACCCTCTGCTCTGAATAGAGATCTTGGGTTCACATGCTAAAAAAGGGAGAAAAAAAGTAAAAAAAAAAAAAAAAAAAAAAGTAATTCCTATGGGGCACTCACGTAGTTCAGGAAAATGGTCTAGTCCAGTGGTCGGCAAACTCATTAGTCAACAGAGCCAAATACCAACAGTACAACGATTGAAATTTCTTTTGAGAGCCAAATTTTTAAAACTTAAACTTCTTCTAATGCCACTTCTTCAAAATAGACTCACTCAGGCATGGTATTTTGTGGAAGAGCCACACTCACGGGGCCAAAGAGCTGCATGTGGCTTGCGAGCCACAGTTTGCTGAACACAGGTCTGGTCTAAAGATCACTAACACATTAGACTTCATGTGTTTTCCATTAGTTGGCAAGTCTACTCTAGCACGAAGCACTGCATTTACAGAGTGCTGTATCCCAGCCCCCTCCTTCACTTCCAAGTCCATTATTCTGGGCATTGCCATTGGATATACCCCTTCTTCCTTGACTCTTTTCTTATTTTTCTCCCTAGTATTTTTTCTCTTTGAGGAGATGAAGAAATGTCTGGGA